TTGTTGTTGCAGTTGCAGTTACACTTGTAGTTCTAGTGTTGTCTATCTACGTATCTACTTATCTACTCATCTACGTATCTAGCTATCTAGCAATCTAGCAATCTAGCTATCTATCCATCTATCCATCCATCCATCTATCCCTCTGTCTATCTATCTATCTGTCTATCGATCTATCTATCTATCTATCCATCTATCTATCTATCCCTGTCTATCTATCTATCTATCTATCTACGCTATCTATCTATCTGCAAGCTTGAAAACGAAGCTATCCTGCGAGATTTCCTCAATTTTTGAACTTGACAGCATCAGAAGCGCAGCAATTCTGCGAGACGTCCTCAATTTTTCAAATTGACAACATCAAAAACGAAGCAGTTCTGCGAGACTTCTTGCAAAAATAAGAACGCTTAGTGCAAAGCTGACGGCCTCGTACCAATGCGTTTTGCAATTTGTCCACTCCATCTGTCTAAAGTACTGCACCTGCCACGAAAAAGTGATGCCAGGTCATACGAAGTGCTGCACTTGTCACGCAAAATCATCTTAGCAAACCTGAAGATCTGATGCTCCAAAATGCAACCCCTCTCAGGAAATCAGCGCCCTGACCTCCTAACATCTCTGATGAACATGTCTCTTGTACTGCGCCTGCCACGCGAAATTCATCTTTCCAGATCCTCTTCAAATGTCCCACGCCTGCCATCGTCTTTGAAACTGCTACAAAACCCTCACGTTTTCCTCACTTTTGACAATGTGCACAATCCCTTGCGCCTGCCACGCGAAACGACATCTAAACGTCCAACATTGGTCCGAGACTGTCAGTTTTTGGCGCTTTTGACTTGGACATGTGCTTCGCGCCACATCGGCGTGCACTTTTTCGACTTCTCAACTTCCAACAGTGTTCCGAACGTGAAATGTTTTTAGCCTAATTTTTTATTTTTTTACTTGCAAATGTGCTTCGCGCCACAACAGCATGCAACTTGTCATCTCTCATCTGGCCACATGGCTCCGCACCCGCCGCTTTAGCGAGCCTACTTTTCCACCCTCCAGAGCCGCAACTCATTGGAAAAACGGAGTGAATCCCGACTTTCCTACCTTTTCGCGCACCTGGATCTTCTTTCTTCTTCTCTTCTCTTCTCTTCTCTGACTCTTCCCATCTCTGCTTTTCATCTGTCCATATTGTTGGAAGTTTGGAAGTTTGACTTCTAAACTTCCTTCGATAAACATGGAGGGGTCATCCCCCTCTTCAATCCGGTGAATTTCTGGACCCCAATAGCTGCACTGGTTGCACCTTCAGCTGCCACTGGGCGGTAGAGCTCTCGGGAGTGGTTGATCTCTGCCTCGCAAGTCCACTTGAAGCGTTTCTTAGCAGCTTAGGAAAGCGTTTCATCTCTTCACATCCCATTTTTGGATCAAATGTTTCATAATTATATTGCGTCATTAAAATTTACGTTTCATTACTTGAATTCATTACGATTTCTATCACCGCTTTTATCACTTTTTTCCATTTCCATGGACATCCCATGGACTTGCTATCCGCTGCTATCCCGGCCCCAAAAAAATGCCATCCACCGTTTCAACAGCGTCGCATGTCGTCGCCTCGTTTTTCTCAGCTTCGGCCACCTGCAGCGCGATCTCCCGCGAGGTCTCCTTGGTCTTCTCCAGGCCCTGGCGACGCGACAACTTTCTCGGAGCTTTGGTCATGGCCGAATCATTTTTTTTTTGTTTGCATGTTTCAATTATTAACGAAGGTCAAAGGCAAGGGACAGATCTTGGGGCATGATCTTAATGTTACGACATGTTACGGCATATATGGTTGGTCATCTTGTATTGAGTACTGACGCTGTTTTTTTTCTGCGGGATGGTTCCTTGTTCCTCTCCTTCGTTCATGGGAGCTGATTAATGATGGTACTGCTCCCAAAAAATGGTGCTCTGTCTCCACGGCTGGGCTGGATCCAGTGGGATTATGGGTTATAATTGGTATATAAAATCCAAAAACATAGCTAAACATATGGGCATCCATGATTTTAACACTGGATAGGAAAAGTATATTTGGTTCAATAATGTTCCATATTTTGCTACGCCGTGCTTTTTTTCACGCCTCGATCAATGGCAGGTTGTCCAAGATCGTTGCAGGATCTGCTGCCGACAGCTGCGACAGCAACTCGTCTTCCAGGCGCGAGAGCACCACCTGAGAGCAACAGGAAATCCTATGGAAATCCTATGGAAATCCTATGGAAAATGCCGCGGCTTTTGGGGAAGGACCATGTCTATATAGAGATACAATCGAAATCTATGCAACAACCCAAGAGAACACTTGGAAGAAGTATGTCTGTAAATGTGAAAAATTCTGCCTACAAGAAATTCAGGAAGTGAATCTTAGCGTAAATCTTTGAAAACAGATGCCAATACAAGCGAGCATACAATAGTCTACGCCATGCAAACAAGTCCAATCTTAATTTTTCTATATCATGTGTATTTATCTATCCATATCTATCCATTCCAAAGTTTCTCTCTGTCTCTATATCTTCTGTTGTCCCATGTTGTCCCTCTTAGTTCGCAAGACAGAGAATCACCATGCACCGCATGCGCCTTGAACTCGTTCTGACGCCGCACCAGGATCTGATCGAAGCGAATTCGCATCCGTGGCCCCGGCGACCCGGGGTGAAGTACCAGCAACATCCAGCAACTACCCATCTGGATCTAGCATCATCTAGCATGATCTAGCTACATCGTAAAAAAAATAACATGAATGGATTGCTATGATCAACCCATGAAAGGTTTTTGAAACAAACATTAACTCTCGCCCACTTCTTAAGTGATTGGATCCTCGCAGCTTTTGCAAGGCCTCTGCCCAAGAGTCCCATCGGTTGCAGTCTGTGGTCCCATCGCACCTGCTTTTCTTCCTCCAGCTGTGGCTTTTCACAGTTCACCACCAATGCCAAGATCTGCTCCTTCGCATCGGAAGATCTATGCAAATGTCTGAATACTTCGGGGACTGATCATACATCTTTGGTCTACCTTGGGTCTGGCCCATTGTCTGTAACAGCTTTCACAAGCTAGAGCACGATTTTTGCACGGAGGGGAACACCAAAGAGCGCGATCTAGAGCACGATTTGTGCACGGAGGGGAACACCAAAAAGCACGATCTAGAGCACGATTTTTTGCACGAAGAGGAAATCCAAAAAAGCACGATCCAGACCACGACTTTCTGCCCGAAGGAGAACAATTTTCACGGAGCCCACACCAAAAGGCACGAGCTACATGTAGAGCACGATTTTTGCACGGAGGAGAACACCAAAGAGCACGATTTAGAGCACAATTTTTGCACGAAAGAACATGGAAAAAATGAATGAAGAGGTTTTCATCGGAAATCCATTTTCCGACTGTTACAGAGGTTAGGTTACACCCAAGGTCTACCCCTTTTCCCTGCTCAAGCTGATGTTGAAGTGGGACTGGTAAATCTGTCCAAAAACTTGAAAGCCAATTTGAAACTCTTTGGAATATATGAATTGAAAACGTCTATTCAAAAAAAAACATCAGATATCATAAGATCCCTCCCTTGAAAAGATGCCGAAAAGAAGACGAAGCAACAGACCTCCAAGCCCTCTGGCGTCACGATAAAGTTCACCACGGTGCATTGGGCTGACACCTTACAGACGTCCCATTACTGGCAGGGTTGGTGAGCCATCGGAATTCCAGTCGCAAACTCACCAAATGAGTCAGAAAACTGTGGAACATTTAAGTGGAAACAAATGTTCCCGGCTGGCTTCTGGCCTCTGGGCGGAAGTGCGGGTTCACCAGCTTGGATTGAAGATAAAGTTGGAACCTCACACCACACAAAATTTGCACAGCCAAATGTTCTGTGCAATCTGGAAAAATCCTTGCCGAAAACGGACTGATACCGATTGATCTTTAATTGTCGTTTTCTCAGCACATTCTCAATATTCCGATGGGTTCCCAATTCTTCCAAACCATCGGACTATTGGACACATTTAATTGAAACACAATTTACATAATCCAACCATCCGCAGGCTCTGAGATGCCCTGAGACCAAGACTTGCTATCATATTCGATCTCATCCGGGCCCAGTTTTAGGAACATGGGGCCAACGCCTCGTTTGATCACCTCAGTGTTCAAAACCCGTTCGGAATGTTGTGAAGTTGGTGGAAAGATTTCGCTTGGAGAGCACCTATGAGATCAATGATCAATTGTCTATACGGTATATACCTCATGCTTTGCTCATCCCATGTTGGCTGCATACACATTTTTCTGGCCAGGACACCATCAGTGTGTAAAGTACCCCACGTTTATTGTTCTAAACGGCATTCCCATTAATCGGATGAACATCGCTTGTTGTTTGGTTTAACCATGTTTAACCCTTGTTTGTTGGATAAGTACTTATAGTCGCAGTGTTTTACTTCTTCATTTTTTTTGATATTTTTGGAGCTTCAAACCTCATCAACTGGTGAGACATCGCCAAGTGGCAGCCCGTGACAACAGTGGCTCCAGTACCGCATCGATCTCATCTGCGAGGCCCTGCAAGCCGATGATTTTCATGAAACGCGTGCTGTTTTTGAACCATGAATATCCATGAATATTGGAATGAAAACTGATTGCAAATTGGTATCTGCAGATTTAGGTTCATTTACTGTTGATGTGTCATTCGATTCTTTTGTGATGATTCATGATGAGTATAGCCGAAGTATGGAGGTGTCCACGAGGCTGTATCGGATGAAGATTGAAGACACTGAATGACAAGTGGAATCTGCACCGGCGATGCCCTTAGTTGAAACATGTTGAAACTCTAGATAAGTGTTCACAGTTGCATCCCGCTCACAGGGAAACCAGTTCATCCCTCAACCTGGATGCAACGGTTCAACAACTTAAAATAATGTCACGTTGCAACTGTTGCAACTGTTGCCATCGGTTTCCCGTAGCCATCATCTTTGGTGACGTTATCAGGTCGTTGTCGTGACATAAATGTTATAAATGTTATAAACTAACCAACCCCGCAGTCCCACCTCGATTAACAGCTGGCTACCCGTTTGTACGCAGGAGACGACCTTGTCCAACCTGCAAATGGATGAAGATTGGCTTTAGTTGATGTATCGACTTGATGTGTCTGATAAAGCTGGGAGACCTACAAACTTGCTGACATGCTGGAAATTGCTGGAAGCAGGCGATGAATCATAGATCAAACACATAATGAAAACTTAGGGATGAATTTCAGAGATGCGTTCCAAATTTTCTGATAGAGGTTTGTTCAAGTCAACGGTTGGTAATCATTTTCTCCAGTAAAACTGCCATATATTGAGGTTTAATCCCTCATGTACAAAAACCCGACAAAGCCATATCACTGTGAAATGTCATGTCTAGTGTCGACAGCTACAGCGACCAAGTTGCCATTTGGGTGTCGACAGTTGGATCACTGTCAGCTCCTGAACAGAAAGGTCGTGGAAGACCATTTGGCCATCACAAATGATCGGAAACATCGAACATCGCAGCTGGCGTTTCTTGATGGGTACAGTCGGTACAGTATTCAAATCTGAACAAAAATGCCTAGATGAAATCTGATGAAATCTGATGAAATCTGAGGAAATCTGATGAAATCTGAGGAAATCTGATGAAATCTGATGAAATCTGATGAAATCTGAGGAAATCTGATGAAATCTGAGGAAATCTGAGGAAATCTGATGAAATCTGAGGAAATCTGAGGAAATCTGATGAAATCTGATGAAATCTGATGAAATCTGATGAAATCTGATGAAATCTGAAAAATTTGAGGAAATCTGATGAAATCTGATGAAATCTGAAGAATCTGATGAAACCTGCTGGAATCTAATGAAGCCTGATGAAATCTGATGAAATCTGATGAAATCTGAGGAAATCCGGGGAAATCTGAGGAAATCTGATGAAATCTGACGAAATCTGATGAAATCTGATGAAATCTGATGAAATCTGATGAAATTTGATGAAATCTGATGAAATCTGATGAAATCTGATGAAATCTGATGAAATCTGATGAAATCTGATGAAATCTGAGGAAATCTGAGGAAATCTGAGGAAATCTGATGAAATCTGATGAAATCTGATGAAATCTGATGAAATCTGATGAAATCTGAAAAATTTGAGGAAATCTGATGAAATCTGATGAAATCTGAAGAATCTGATGAAACCTGCTGGAATCTAATGAAGCCTGATGAAATCTGATGAAATCTGATGAAATCTGAGGAAATCCGGGGAAATCTGAGGAAATCTGATGAAATCTGACGAAATCTGATGAAATCTGATGAAATCTGATGAAATCTGATGAAATTTGATGAAATCTTTTCTCCTTTAGGGGGGTGACTTGCGGCTTATCGGGTTCGAGCCTGCCATCTTTCCTGTCACGAGCACATCTGATGAAATTTATTTTTATGATTGATGAAATCTGATTGAGATCTAATGAAACCTGATGAAATCTGATGAAATCTGGGAAATCTGAGGAAATCTGATGAAATCTGATGAAATCTGAGGAAATCTGAGGAAATCTGAGGAAATCTGAGGAAATCTGATGAAATCTGATGAAATCTGAGGAAATCTGAGGAAATCTGATGAAATCTGATGAAATCTGATGAAATCTGATGAAATCTGAGGAAATCTGATGAAATCTGAGGAAATCTGAGGAAATCTGAGGAAATCTGATGATCTGATGAAATCTGATGAAATCTGATGAAATCTGATGAAATCTGAGGAAATCTGAAAAATTTGAGGAAATCTGAGGAAATCTGATGAAATCTGAGGAAATCTGAGGAAATCTGATGAACCCAGCAAATTTCTTGGTGCATCCGCATGTCGCATGTCCTCTCCGATTCGTTGCTTGATCCAGCGCGTGCCCTGTTGTTGTGGATCCACCAACCTGATCGAGGCTAGTGCCCTTCTGAGGCGCCGTTGGCAGTTGATTTTACCATAGACGATCCATAGACGTATGATCAAATTTCATTACATATCACACATATCAGGATGTTTTCATTTTGATCATCACATGATCTTGTCCAATGGAAATTTGCGAAGTCCGAATGATCACCAAATTCATTTATATTAAGTATATTACATAATCTGAATGTCCCCAAGTTGACGGAAGAATCATGTTAGATGCCGCCGAGTGCCCCAAAGATCCAAATGGCTCCACTGCTCTGAGTGCCCCACAAAGGCCATCTGGAACAACTGGTGACCACAGAGGCATTTTCCACCGAGACGCGATCTGCGGGTAGGCCCTGACAAAGATCTTCGAATGTCAACCTACAAAAGCCCTTGATACTACCAAGTGGAAAGTGGCAGAATTGACCGTGTCAATGTCAACACATGTCAACACTAAACCCTCCCAAATTCACCAGATCTAAAAAATCCGCCAACTCCAACCGTTACCGACTGGATCCGACTGGACTAGCTCATCATGCCCATCCCATTATCAAAAAATGATGAACGACTGGATGCCTCATTCATCCAGCCGGCCACATCCGCATCGGTGGCCAGGACCGTCAGGGGATCGATGTTGTTGGTCATTGGAATTTCCCGTTCTGGGCGCTGGTTGAATTTGGCAAGAGGTTCATCGGGAAATTCAGTTGTTGAAACGCCAAAATGAAAATAATGAGATCCATCTGCTGAATCTGTTTTCACCAATTTTCACCATATTATCCAATTTTTTGTCAAGCCAACAAAGAAATCAAACAGCACATCTAGACCGCCGAGTCTCGTTTCAGATCGGCGGTCCACACATTCTGCCACAAGTCCTGTCAAGGAGCAACCAAGGAAATTCAGGTCGTGGCAATCCAACTGTTGAAGCATTGAATCAACAGTTGAAGAAGTGAATCACTCTTGATTTACTGGATAATCTGCTAATATCTGTTGTGATTGCATGTCTGTTTATTATGTGAGATACGCCCGAATCAGCAGAAACCAGCTGATTTTGGACAGCATCAACTGGTTGCGGTAGCAGTTGGTTACAGTATCCTTGCACTGTTGCATACATCCTCACGTTCATCCCATGTTTATCCCATGTTATGTTGCTTAAACTCCAGTTGTGCGGTTCATATCCCCATGGTCGGAACTCATAAATTCGCAGTGATCAAGTGCATTAATTTCAAGGGAACAAAAATGCTGAAAATGATGTTCATGCAAAAGCTCTGGGTTTTGGGGGTTCCAAGTGTTTGGACTTGGTGATTGCCTGCCGGAGGCGTGCGGAGAAGGGTGAAGCGTAGCCGACAAAGGCACTGGCCAACATGCAGTTGCCTCCAGGGATTCACTGATGCAACAGTTGAACCATGTTGAATCATATATCTGTAGCTATCTGTAGCTGATTAAACTGCCCGGCAATCGATAATTCCACATGCGTTTTCTGGCGAATCACCCATGTCACGAGAAGTTGTTGATCAAGAAGTAATACTGGGCAACAATCGAATTAGTAAAACTGGGACAGAACTAATGCAACCAAATACAATACAACCTTCGTGTTGATGGGTTGGTAGGACTTCTGGACAACATTTGGTGACACCAAGATCCCAACACTTTCTACACGGAGACCATGCCTATGAGCCGCAGAGAGAGCTGGCGTAGGTCCACCACAGTGTTGGCCCAACCTCGAAGCAAAAATGCTGAGACAAAAGTGGCAAACAACTAAGATTTGAAAAGGACCATGGTGAAACCCATGTTTTACTTGCCAAGTCTAGGAAATTTCAACCTCATCCCCTGCGAATCATGATCTCCTACCCCCCGCACCTCCCAAAATGAGTAAAACTCAGAGGTATTCATCATGTATTCATCTCCGGTATTCCCAACTCCCACTTCCCTCTGAGTTTCTGAACGTTCATTCTCATCTGCCAGGCCCGAAACCAAGCGTTGCGCAGTATTCAGCTTCTGCACACAGCTTGCAGCCTGGCAGGTGCCAAGTCGCCAAAAATGGATGGCATTCCTTGTGAACATGGCCGGCTTGATTTTGATTTAACCATCGAAAATGGGGATGTAACTGGCGGAAAATGGTGCTGTTATGTGCTGTTACTGGAATGTATGGATTTGTCCAAAATGGATTAATGGATTGGATTCGATATACTCGCAATATGTGGCCATGAATCATGGGGAAAATGAAGTTCTACACCACGCAGTCTTGGAGGCAGCCTATTTTTGGCCAGCGCGACTGGAAATCTACCGAAAGGGTTTGGCTTTGGCGATTTCCCCAAGATGCTGTATTTTCAGGTTTCAGCGGGGTAAACTATGTTATACCCAAATGGACTGATAAACCTATGAACAATGGGAAACAACCGTTAAGCAACTGCGGCCCGGACTCTTTTTACTCGAGCCGCATCAGCTGTAAGATACATCTATATTACATGGGTTTTGTAGCGGAGTGCAAATACACCCCCCTCAGGTGAGCCGGTCACGGCAAGGCTGCCCACTTACCAGGGCGAGGTCTTTAAGACCTGCCTTACCGCTCCTGGCTCTTTTGCACGACCCGAGGAAACCCAAACAGCGGCTATGATACAAAAATCGATCGTCAATGCAAGCAGTTTCACAACTTATCCCTCTTCACATTCAACTCGGCCATGCCTGATAACTTTCTCATACCAGCGCCCGTGCCACTTCTGCCATTCTCCAGTGTAACGGCGGTCTTCATGGGACTGACTTTGCTGAGGGCGGTTGATCCACTGACTTGCAGACGTTGATGATGAAGCTACCTCTACGGTGGATGTTCGGGCAACCGGTTTGGCGGTGCCTTTCTTGGAAGGACCCTGGCCGTACGCACCAGTCTGCTCAGCTTTGCGCTTGGCCTCGTTCTGTTCGCGAGCCCTGTCAGACTGTTTCTTCTTCTCCGCAGCGTTCTGCTTGTACAGCTCCTCGTTTTGGCCCTTAATCCACCTCAAATGCCGTTCAGCATCATGAACAGCAATGTTGTCAACGCCAGTACAAGACAACAAAAGATTGTGCTGAGGATTCCGGTTCAGATAGTCGATGTATTCTTCCTCAGAGTAGATTTCGGTCCGGTACATGTAGAACCATGGCTGGTCGATGTACCTGAAGGACTTCGGGACGTCAAGACGGCTTGCCAGATGCAAGTACACCAGCCTCATCGCGTTGTGCTCCAGCTGAGACTGCTCAGAAACACCCATCTTGACCTGAGCCTTGGTACGACCTGGCTTCGGCAAATGTGCAGACTTGAGGAGGTCGTACCTTTCACAATCGTACTCGTTCTCCCCCTCGTTCAGCACGCTCTCTGCGAATGTGGCGTCCTGGGCAAACCTGTCAGCCACAGACACATAGCCCAAGCTCAAGGCACGGTCGAATCGACTCTTCGCCCTTGCTAACAAACTAGCTTCGGGGCTAGAGCTTCCTCTTGCCTGGTCGTCCAACAAACCCAAAGATTCGAGCTGACTGTGTGTGATGCTCTGCAGGTACTCGCCACGAAAGTCATAGTACAAGCCCAGCTTGTGAAGGGCGGCCTTCCTTCGTTCTGCAATCTTGGTGCGGTCGGCCTTGTTCACCCCTTCGAGCATCAATCCACACACGTCACATTCGATCTGTCCCTTGAAAGTCTGTGCAAAACATCTTGAACATTGCGTGACTTCAATTTTGACTGGCACCGGCTTCTTGTCCTCCTTCTTTTCCTCTTTCTTCGAAGGTTGGTCATCGCCTTTAGGGCGAGACTTCTGCTTTGGCACCAGTGACTTGGATGTTGATGCCGGCGTCTTTGTGGGTGACCCTGCAACTGGAGCTTTTGGATCTTTCTGTACTGCCTTTGGCGGTGCAACTTTCGACACAGGCTCCAAGAAGGCCGCAGCTGATGATGCCGCAGGCACAGCTGCGGGCACGCTTGTCAGGGCTGCCTTCTTCTTTGCAGGTTCTTCCTTTGCTGACGCATCAACTTCTGATGTCACAGCTTTTGGAACTTCTGGTGCATGAGGTGCAGAAGTCCCTTCCTTCGGTGATGGTTTTGGAGGTACTTTCGGCGGTGTCTTCGGGCTTTCAACCTTTGCTGCAGGAGGCTTTGGAGCTTCGCCTTTCGGAGGAGGGGGCAACAATCTGCTGCTTGCATATCCAGGCATACCGGCAAGTTGGGCCACATTTGGTGGCGGAGGCTTCACCTTTCCTGGGAAAAATGCCGTTGCAGTGGGCGCGCCAGTTGAGGCGGCCGGAGACTTGGAACCAGCCTGTTTTGATGCCTTGGCCTCAAAGGTCTCGACAAGCTGTTGGACTCCAACTTCTCCCCCACTGCTTGCTGCAGACTGTGCGACCTCCTGCTGGCGACGATACAAATTCACCTTCTTGGCAGTGTCATCGACATGGGTCGTTCAGCACGCAGGCCGCTGACATACTCTTTCTCGTCGACACGCACTTCGCTGAAATAGGAGTGTGCTCTGCCTGATGAATTTCGTTCTCCTCCTCCAGCCACGAAACCATTCTCAATGATCCCCTTCCAATTGCCTTTTGTAGTCCTGTGATAGACTACGCCTGGGCACATCTGCGGTGTGGTAATCTTTTTACCTTTGGCGTTCATCTTCTGGATGGCTGCCGCTCCGGACAGCGCATAGATTTCCACCGCATTGAATGTGTCCTCGGCCGAGGCAGCATCCATGGCTCGCTTCGTGTGCCCCTGCACTGCACGGATCCTGATGGGCCAGTAGGCTAACCCTTTACGGGTTGCCTTCTGGTATCCGGCAATGCACTGGAACTCAAAACGGCACTTGCTGTCACAGTAGAGAAGGGAAATGAGCTCTTCAACCGTCATTCGGGGTAACTTGGCTGGCAGCATTTGATTGAACATTCGAAAGAAGTCATCAAGGTCAAGCCACATGTTTTCATCAAATCCAGAGGTGTCCTGACCTGGCTGTCCACGTGTCACTGCATTGACCTTGGTTTTGTGTCGGTCCATGCGATCTGGGTACCTCAGCTCCTCGGCTCCATCCATCTCCCAACATGTTTTTGTGATCAGTTCGTATGGATGGGAGTCCACAACACAATGCTCAACTACATCCGCATTAATGTTCTCGTCCAGCATGATCCGATACTTGTCAATGTGTCCAAGTGTATGTTTCGGGATGATCGTGCCTTTGAGCTCATTCTCCTGCGTGGGCTCACCGGCTGGGGTGGCCTGAGTTGAGTCTTCCTGTGCAGGTGGAGCTTTCGCCTTGGGGTCAGGAGGAGCTGCATGACTGGCTTTTGCCTTTCCCACTGATGGGCCTTCATACTCGTTGGCATCCAGAGCATCCCATGGGTCGCCTTCATCATCATCATCATCATCATCATCATCAGCGACACCAGCATCAGTTGGGCGATCTCTCAACTCCTCTGCCGTGAAGCTTTCTGGGGTTGAGACGCTCGGTGCAGACTTGTTCGTCTTCTCCCGCAAAGCGGTGAGGACCTGCACAAACCTGACTGGGAGATGCTCCATCTTTGGTGGGATGTCACGCATAGTAGCTTCTCCTGCAGGACGCCTGCGCTTGTACAAAGACAGGTTGTACTGGGGCACCAAAATGTCTGTCATGTGCAACATGTGGAGAGTTGCCATGACATATCCGATCATCTCACTTCGGTTGAGCTCGGTCTCGAATGCGTGAAAGTAGTCCCTGAGCTCAAGCCTCGGTGGAAGCTTATCATTCTGAATCCACCTGATCCGATCGTTGTCACTGGCAATCTCCTTGTGGAACCATTCCTTCAGTCGCTCCACAAAGGTGGTAAAGATGAGACTCAATCCATAAGTGAGCGGGTCGGGCTCGCCGATTAGGGCGGCCTGATCCACTCCCAATTCCTTGAGCTGATTGTTCCACCACACAATGTTGCCCTTGACCCTGTCCATGATGGCATTCCAGTCGCCCTGTGGTTCCCTCTGCCCCCAAATGGGAAGGGGTTCAACACCATGTTCCCCACAAATTTCATTCCCAGACCAAAAGATCACCGAAATAACCCTGATGGCTGATCCATGAGAAGAATATTTTGCCATCAATTCCTTGATCATGGAAATATTTGCTTCGCAGAGCTGTTGCAAATCCTTTCCCCAGAGCATGTCATGACCGATTTCGAGAACCATGTCCGACTTTCGCAATTCCAGATCCTCCTTCAAGGTGTACTTCTTCAAAGTCCTACCCTTTCCAGTGATCAGAGCCAAAGTTGAATCGGAAGTCACCACATAGATGGTGGGCACGACGTCTACCGCCGGCCTTGATGTCCCAGGGACGTACTCAGTAGGCAAGTTCAGATCCCACAGCGAGTCATGTTCGAGCTCGGACAGATGGCGGATCTCCTTTGCCCACGGCACATTTGTCAGGGCGTCAGTTGCCATGGATTGCGCAGTGAAGCATTGCATTAATCCTGCGGCAATCTCGAGGTCTTCCGTCCTGTTTCCTTGCGCCAGGATCGTCGACGAAGCGAGGACTGTTGAAAAGATGTCCTCCCACCCTGCATGCCTATCCCCCTGAACATCAAGGCACTTCCGAAAAGCAAGCCACTCCGACATGTTGCTTTGTTGGGGCACGGTCTTTAAACCGGCCGACTTGAGAGCCCGCACGTTCATCTTTTCAGTGATCGACAGATTTGAATCATCAGAACGGCGGCTCATGGCGGGCAGAGCTAACCTTTTCCTGTTCTTGGCGGTTTGTGCCTGGTTAGCTCTGGAACGAAAACAATCATGGATGAAGTCAGTCAACTTGAATGTGTAGTTCTCCGCAAGTTTCAATGCAGTACCCCGGCTTTGACCATGAGTGTGAGAACCATCACAAATGTATTCTGAAAGACTTGACAACTCTTCCATGTTTGTTGCAATATGTTGCAATCATCCAACCCTTTTTCATTGGATTCCCGTCCAAGTCAATAACCCCAAACTGGCAACCGTGGAATGGATACAACTTCAACTCTTGTCTCTTCAAAAACGATTGGACCATTGGCCA